CCTTTATCCCTTCCCCTACACTTATTTCTCTCTCATATCTGTAGGTAATCGAACAAGAAGCAATAGAGCTGAAGGACAGATTCTCAGGCCCCAGGCGCTCAGTGCTCGAGGATTCTGATAGTGGTGAACTGGAAGATATCGATGTCATTCCAAATGAAGAGATGCTTTTGGCATGTTTCATAACTTCAACCTATTGAATATTTGAGCTTGTGCATTCTGAAGTTTTCTGTCTTGTGTTTCTCGAGGTTGAAAACTCGGGTTCTTTCTTTTTTTTTAAAAAAAAACTTCAACTTGTGATGTATATTTCAGGCAATCAGTGAAAAGGGCTATGTTAAGAGGATGAAGGCTAATACATTCAATCTTCAGCATCGTGGCACTATTGGTAAATCCGTTGGAAAACTGAGAGTTGATGATACAATGTCGGATTTTCTTGTTTGCCATGCACATGACCATGTCCTCTTTTTCAGGTACCTCCTGCTAATTACCCATTTCCATTTTCTAAATCCGCTTTAACTGACACATTAAGATTATTTACTTACTTATCCCTGGCTTCGGAAATGCATTTTTCGGTTAATCTCCAGTGATCGTGGTATAGTCTACTCGTCCCGGGCATATAAAATTCCGGAATGTTCCCGTAATGCAGCCGGGACACCATTGGTTCAGGTGCTCAGTGCATCTATGCTTTGCTTTCACTATATAACTTTTTACTCAGCAGAAAAGCTAAGTGACCAATGTATTATTTTGATTATGGGAACAGATCATATCTCTTTCGAGTGGAGAAAGAATAACTTCAATCGTTCCTGTTAGTGAGTTTGGCCAAGATCGTTATCTTCTGATGCTTACGATGAATGGATTCATCAAGAAAGTTGCTGTGAATTTGTTCTCTGGAATACGTTCAACTGGAATCATAGCAATTCAATTGGTTTGTCTTGTTCTAATCTTTGAATTCTGTTCTTATTTCTATATGTACTTGTTAACAAGATCATTTTTAAAACCTAATATAATGCATTTTCCAGCTTCCTGGAGATGAATTGAAATGGGTTCGATGTTGCTCAAGTGACGACCTTGTGGCGATGGCATCTCTGAAAGGAATGGTCATCCTTAGTTCATGTGATGGTGTAAGTCGTGCTTTTTATTACAAAACAAAAACAAGATTTTGCATTGAAGATGAAAAATTGTCTTTTTCTTCAACCTTTTGCCAATGGCGTTTCAGACAGTGTTTGTGAAAAAGAATGTGTGTTTTTTTTTTAAATTGTGAATCAGGTTCGAACCCTTAGCAGAAATACAAAGGGAGTAACTGCAATGAGACTTAAACAAGGTGATAAGATGGCGAGCATGGACATTATACCAGCTTCCCTACGTAAAGATATGGAGAAGAAGTCGGAAGATCAATCTAGCGAGTAAGTTTTTAACCCCACAGATGGAAACCCTTAATAAAAATCTGATTCTCGAAAATTCGGTTACATGGCTTTTTTTAATGTTCTCTCACCAAATGAAAGTAGGAAGAGCTGCAGTGGTGGTCCATGGCTATTGTTTGTGTGCGAGAGTGGCTATGGAAAGCGTGTTCCAGTGAGTAGCTTCCGGATGTCGCCATTGTACAGAGTTGGCTTAGCTGGTTACAAGGTACAAACCCTTTTCTTGATCTCTATCCCCTTATCTCTGGTTCTCCTCGGTGGGTTCGGTCGGGTACCCGACATCGGTCTTGCCTTCTCGGGTTTTCCGGTGTACTTGCTCTCTCTCTTCCCTCGGCCCGGGTTACCATGGATATGGATAATTGGCCGAACTCGAACCTGAACTCAAATCCGAAGGTCGGGTTCTCATCAGCGATGGATTCATACTCTTCCCGTCAGTGGACGAGTATCCGAGATTTCCAGTACCCAACTCGTGGGCAGATACTCTGCGATTTTGGGGGGTTCAACAGGCATTTGGTTTGATAAGCACTGCTAACACCATTTTCTCGACTTGTTTCAGTTTGGGTCCAATGATCGTTTGGCTGCTGTTTTCGTGGTCGGTTACTCCTTAGCAGGTGAGAATACTCTCCCTTAAAAACACACTGGTCCTCTCTCTATTCATCTGTTCATCTTCCTAGACTTCACTCTCTCAAATCATGTCTGTGTTCAAATATTGCAGAGGATGGAGAGAGTGATGAACAAGTAGTTCTAGTGAGCCATAGTGGAACTGTCAACCGAATCAAAGTCAGGGACATCTCCATCCGTTCTCGTCGCGCTCGGTACTAAGAACAAATCCATACTCTTCCATGTGCCCCAAAATGTGCAACACTTTACGATTTTTTTTCCCGGGTTTCACAGGGGGGTGATTCTAATGCGGCTAGATCACACCGGAAAGATTCAATCAGCGTCTTTGATCTCGGGAGCAGAGGAACAAAGCGAAGGAATACCTCCTAACGATGACACTGAAGGTCAAGAATCTGAATCATCCCGAGAGGTTTCTGCAAGCCTGTAAATTTCTGTTTATCTTTCTTCTGGATGTCGCCATTATATATGCGAAGAGTGTGCCATCTTGTTTGGGAATTCCGACAACCTTGCGGTTGAGTAGGAGACAATCCCAGTACAGGTTGATCAGTAACACAGTGGTCATGTTGTTGTTCCCTTATCTAATGTCTCTGCAACTAGAAAAAGGAGGAAGTCGACGCATTTTCACTCCGCGTTTTGACGGCTGAATCATATGTTGAAATTTAAGATTGTCCGATGAGGAAGATGTGATCTGATCTTCTTGCTCATAATCTGAAACATTAGGATGGAAACCAAGAAGAAGAATAAAAGATGATGAATACCAAGAAGATTTCCAGAGTGGGCTTTGATTCTGTCCGAACGTTGACGGAAAGTTGGCCTGCAACGGTAAAGGCAAGACAAAGGACCTTTGGTCTGAGCCAGTGGATCCAAACATTATAATGAGGCGTCATTGATTCTTTCTTCCCGAGGGAAGCAAGCTTCCTCCAGAGGTTTTGGCGCGAAACATCAACGCCGACATTGAAGCCACGATAACGTTTCAGACACAGAACCTGAGAGATTCGTGTAGAATAGTAAGCGCCTTAAGGAGAAAATGCCACGTGTCGCTACGGCAGTTGAGAAGAGAAAAAAATGAAGTAATTCTTGTAAGTTCCCTTAATTATTGCTCAGATTACAAAGAAACCCCACATTTTTTAATTTCGACGACGGTTAACTACCACAAACTTTATAATTTCAAAACTTTATCCCTGTATACAGACCCAGAGAAGCTCCGGAGAAAAAAATTTCTCTACCTGCCCTTGGATCTCCGCCGGCGGCGGCGTCCTCCCAGGAGTTTTAGCATATTGTCAGTGACATCAACCGGAGAAGAATCAACCTGGTTTCCATCGTCAAGGTTAGAGCCATTTTCCGAGGTATGAGTTAACCAGGCCAAAGCCTCGACGGCTGCGTTTCTCTCGGCGAGCTGTTTGTTCTTCTGAGGCTTGCCAACGAACTGCATGCCTTTGAACTCCACAAGCGCTCTGAACTCGTTCGTCTTCAGATGTTTCGTCTTGTACTTTGGTGGGGAGTGTCCTGCTCTCATCAGAAGCGTCTGAAGCAGGCTTTTCGGGTTTGTTCCGTCTCTCGAGAATTTCTCCTCCCCGGATTTTGGTTGGTTTGGTCTCTTGGTGTCCCGACCGAAGACAAATCTTCCTTCGCATTGGTCTGAGGACACGAGTTCTTGGACCGCGAGCATGAGATACTTCCCTTCTTTGTGGATGTCAATGCTCGGATCTTCAAGCTGGAAGAAACAATGAAACAATGGTGAAAAAATCATTCTCTTTCTGCACTCCTTTTCATATGAAAAACCACACTGAGAGTGTGAAGAAATCTAAAGGTTCCACCTTTTTCTGGAGAAGCTTGTCGAGTTCTTCCTTCAGCTTCACATAGGACTCTGCCAAGTTTGGGTCCATGAAGAAATCGATGTACCCATCAAGCATTTTCAGATGCCCCAGCTGAAATGTAATGCAGATGTGAACGATCAGATCCATAACAATTCTTTTCCGAACAGTAAGGCGATAAATAGTTTGGTAAGAAAATCTTTTCTACCTGCACCCCATTGCTCAAGGCGCCGCCGAAAAGGATCAGAATGGAATCAGAGACACCAGTTGAATCCCGGATGAAAACTGCATTCACCTTTACTTTCTCGCCAAAGACTAACCACGGGTACGGAATAGTCTCGTACCGAGAATTTACAGAGTTCTGAATTTCGAATCATAAACCAATAAACTGTTAAATATTACACAGCGGTTTCAAGAGACTATATACTTCAGAATGTGATCGACGATAGCTCACCGCATATAATAATACTTGACCATCATCCATTGTCTTGAAAGACATGGAAGTCTCTCTGTGCTGAGAAAAAAATGAAAAAGAGCGTACATTGTGAATTCACTGAAACTGTGATCGGAAAGAAAAATTTACGGGCAAACAAAAAATCTCGGGTTTACCACAACAGATGCTATTCCAGGGTAAAGGCCAGAGCAAATGACAGCACGCACAAGATGTTGATTGTGACTTAGCTTGTTGTTTACCGATGAATCGTCTACCACTAAACCAGCTTCTTTCAGAATATAACTGAACTGTTTCCTCAGAGAATGTATTGCCTGAAGGGTTTGAGCAGAGAGGAAATTCCTCCACGAGAACTCATACGCCGATCCTTCTCTCTCCGCGGTTTTCCAACCTTCATAGGCGCGAACAAGCGCCATATGGTCACTATAGTCTTTTGCGGAGAATTTCGCCTTTGCTGTTCCAGCTAACTACACAAATAAGAGGAAGACATGTACGTTCTTTAAGTTTTTTCGGGATAAACCACGGGAATTCCACAAGCATTTCATTCATCTTCTTGACCAAAAAAGTCTGAGTAAAGGTTGAAACTTTGAAATACTGCTCAAGGTCCAGGAACAATTCCATCACAAAATCATAAAAAATCCAAAATTCAGAGTAGATTCAGTGATTATTTTTCTGCAGGATCTATGCAATATCATCAACAGATCGTTGTATACTCTTCATTATCCACAGTTTCATCGTATACTACTAGATAGGTAGGTGGACATTTTACTTACGGCCTTTTTGTCTTGCGGTAGGAGAAAAGGATCTCTGACGCTAAGCCCGGATACAATGGTAAGTATAGGATCAAAGCAGCGGAAGATAGCGCCCATTATTAGCATTTTCCCCAACTTGGGATCAACCGGAAGGATTGATAAGAACTTTCCTGATGGAACATCGAAAACAAGAAATCAAGTCATGCACTTGCAGGGACATGTGTTGTGCAAGAATTAGGAAGACTGACCAAGATTTGTCAGATTTTCCTTCTCATCTAGTGCTCCAATCTTTTTCAGAAACTCAATAGCGTTTTGCACCTGTCACGAAATATGCAATTATATCAAACATGTTCCTAAACCGAAAGGGCAATAGACAATCAGGAATCTATGAAGATTCTCATTGACACATAACCAGCCACTTACAGCCAAAGGTTCAGGAGCCTGAAGAGCAGCAGACAAGAATTCTCCAATGCTTTCAACCTGTAGACTTTTAATTTGCAAGCAGAGGGAGTTCAATGGAGTTCTCAGAAGTTCAGGAAGCTGATACTCAGCAAAAGCATCATAAACACATTTCGGGTATAGGTGATAACATTCTCCAGGCTGTACCCGCCCTGCTCTTCCCTTTCTCTGGAATCCAAAATATAAAAGAAAAAATGAGAGAGAAAAAAACCCGTGAAAGAAAACAGAGCCTCCAAGAAAAATCTCGAATACAGACATGAAACGTGTTCCTGAACTATCATATCCTTGTTTCAAAAATACCACGGATTCACCTGCCGAGCAGAAGCCTGAGATATCCACGACGGTATCAAGCACGGTGTATTGTTCAGAGCGTCGTATGTGGTCTCTTTCGCCTTTCCGCAATCAACCACAAAAACTACATCGTTTATCGTGATACTTGCTTCTGCCATATTCGTAGCAAGAACAATTTTGCGTATATCGGGAGGTGGTCTCTCAAAAATGAGCCTCTGCAGTACGAGTAGGAACGTGAAACAGAGGCAACTATATTAGAGAAGATATCTTACATAACTATATTTTTTCAATTATTTGTTGTTCTTAATAGGTTGAGAAAGCAGATGTAACTAAATCAACAGCCAAAACTCAAAGTGAAAGGACAACATGGAAATGACGCTTACCTGTTCTGCAGTTGCCATTGAGCCATGGCATGTCAAAAGCAGAACCCTGTTCGGATCACCTAAGAGGGGGTGGGCTTTAAGTTGGTCCCTAAGAGAGCTGATATCATCCCATCCAGTCATAAATACTAATATAGCGCCTGGACGTTCTTTCCGGCATATGTGACAAAGAACTGCCTCGATGAGATTAAATCCTATAGAATCAGGCATCCAACATGAAAGTGAATCACGTGTCCGGGAGCTATAGTTTTCAAAATTTGATTTGCTGAGAGCTTCCTGCAATTTTTGAAAAACGACATGTGAAGTAATCAATGATCATAGTAAACCCTAGACTTGCATTTTCAGAAAAAATATTCATGCTCTTCACCGTTCACATTTACAGAGAAAAAAACGGGTTAGTAAAGCTTGACAGTTGAGAAAAGAAATGGGGGTGGGGGGATTCATCTATATCTTCCCACACTTGAGATTTTACTGTTATGGTGAATAGCTGAAAAATTCTCCATTTCATATCCACAAAAATAAGCACAATACCTCAACAAGAATAGTGATCTTGTTTTTCCTTCTGCGTGGCATTAGCTGCCGTTGTGTTTTCCACGTCTTTTCTTGGCCATAATCATCAATTTGGTTGAAAGATGTTAGCTTACATCCAGTCATTTCAAGAACATCCTCCAAAAAATGCGCCTTCACTGGATACGTGAAGCCCTGAACAAGTTTTAAACTTTATGAGAAAATTAAACTATTGCATATTTTTCAAGTCAAGAGTGTGAATACCAAAATAATTGGCAAAAAAATGATGCAAAAGAGCATTTGGCTCACAGGAATGTGAATTTTCGGTGCTGCACCAAAATAATTGGAAAAGAGTTCGGCATTTAAAGTGGCACTCATCAGAATCAATCTCAAATCTGGACGCCGTGGAAGAAGCTCCTTCAACACAATTAATAGAAAATCTGCAAGCAACGGGAAAGAGAGGAGCATAAAAGAGAATTAGGACAAAAAGAGATGATTTACAAAACCGAAACACAATTTGGATTCGTAAGAATCAGTAGTATACCTTCGTTCATGCCTCGCTCATGAATCTCGTCAACAAAAACATGTGTTATGCCACTCAAGTTGCGATCACTGAGCAGCCGTCTGAGTAGAATACCACTTGTACAGAAAAGCAGATGGGTATTCTTTCCTTTCATCCCTTCCAATCGAACTTTGAACCCGACCTACCAAAAATTCTCCGCTGGTTATGAAATCAAGATAAACAAGAAACGTTCCAAACATAATTTCCCACTATTGATTGGAAGGAAGAATACTTTCGAATTCAAGTGAGTATGAATTTTGGGCATCCGGACTCACTGTTTCACCGAGGGGTTCTCCTCTCTCTGCCGACACTCTTAATGCTCCCCGACCAGACTCTATCTCTGATTCCAAAATGTACTGCGGAAGTTGAGTTGTCTTACCACATCCGGTCTCCCCAGAAATCACTATTACCTGAAATTTTTAAATGGCATCACTCATGCAGCAAGTAGGACACCTACAGTCATTCAATTTTCATGCTCAACAGAAAGAACTGTAAAAATCATCGTTTCTAAAGTTAACCTGGTTCTGAGCAATTGCTTGAAGAAGTCTTTCTTTTTCCTTGAATGAAGGTAACGACTTCCGAAACTCCATCATCTTCTTTCCCTCAGCAGATTCCTAATATTTCACCAAAATAAGTACCAAATAACTCAAAGTTCTTTGAGAAAGTTGTAACGAAACCAAGATATCACCTGCCAGCCTCTCTGCATATTACGCATGCGTAAACTCCTCTTTTGAAGCACCTTTTCCATTAACGACCCATCAAGAAATGAATAGGAGTTTTCATCAGGAATTTCTTCGGTCTGCTTGTTAGGCTGAGGCTCAGCTGAACTTTCACCATTTTTCCCTGAGTTTAGCTGCTGCCTATCAAGGTGTTCCTGAAGCAGCCCCTCGATCCTTCTCTGCAAACCCAAAGGAAGGACCACCTGCAGGCGAATATGCATTGAGACTTCACTTTAGCACAATACCACCAATCATAAAGCTATAAACAATCTACAACATCCGGGTTTTGGAAGACCCTGAAGGCATGGTTACCTCTCGTTGTGGCCTCTTATCGTCCAAGTCTGGGCGATAGTTGGGAAGAGGAACCTTGCTCGCAACCACCACTTTCCCATAGATCTCACTATTGATTTAGAACGAAAATGCCAAGGAGCGATATATGGATTAGCACCATAGCAAAGGAAATGCATTGGTATTGATCTGAGGGGAAAAGAAGATAAGGTTTATGCACCTGTACAGTCCCATCCTCTTGGCCAGATTCGAGATCTGTTCATAATCTCTTCGATCTCTTTTATCCCTAGATACAATTTCTTGTTCATTTTCATTCCGCAACAGCATTCCCAGTTTCCACTTCCACTCATCTATATTGGCCACTGAGGATGATGCCTACAAACAATTCTCCTTGCCATAAGTCAGATCATTCCCCGATTGGACATGAGAATTTAGTTGAGGAGAAAAAGGATACGATACAAGCCATTGAGAAATGAAAGTTTCAATGAAAATTTTCATGATATAGTCATCATCTACAATTCATCTTTATATACAACTATAAATTGCAATAAACAGCATATAACAAGTTTCAAATTTGATAGTATTTCTCCTTCTAAGATCAATAAGAAAACTTGATTAATCGAATTCACAAGTTTTTTGGGCACATTCGAGTTTCTTCTATACTTTAAACCCAGAAATTCATCTTTTCTCCTGGATTCAATAGCTTTTTTTTTTTTTTTGTAAAGATCCTGAATTCAATATCTAAAATCCAAAATTAAAACTTTGAATCCTATTTGAACAGAACACGAACCTTATGTTCCTCGAATTCACACTCGTACTCATCATCCGAAAACTGCTCGGCAGCATGTCCCCAGAGTCGACGACGAATAGGGAAGAAACTTCCGCCAATACAACCACTACACTTCGGGATAAGAAACAGAGTCGAACCAGACACCGAGATGCTCCTGCCGGCGAGATACGATCTCGACAGAGATGGATTCGAAGAGAAAGGCCGACAGCGAATCTTTGTTGTCTGCCCCAAAAAGAGGCTTATTTGCTTCGTGAATCGCATTCTAGAAAGGGATATCGATAATTAATCATGGCTCTAGAACTCGCTCCAACAGTGAACTTTTCTCCTCCTCCTCCTCCCCCAGTTTTCAAGCAAAGGAAACAACTTTCCGCTTGGTTCTGCTCTCAACCCAACTGGGTTCTCTCTTCCGACATAAAATTTTCAGTCAAGACAAATATCCAGAAGACGCAGATTAGGTTCCCTGACTTGGGTTTCCAGGGGTTTAGGGTTTATTCACAAATACGAAAAATACCTGTTTTTTTTTTCGGCAAATTTCACAAATGCTGAAATAATAAACAATGTAGAAAAATAAATTCGATATTTTCCCCCTCAACCATACCTTAAAATTATTATTGTTATCAAAAATTTAAAAAATACACGGAAATTATTTTGATAGAAGTATATGAATTTAACATTATATTTTGTATCCAAAGTACTGCCAACGAAAACGGTGAAATGGGCAAAAATCATTTCGTCTGAAAAATCACGCAGAGAGAATTAATTAATCAATGCAAAGGTGGAATCTGAAAGAAGTTACCTTTCTCTAAAGAAGCTTCGTCGAGTTCTTCCTTCAACATGAAGAACTCGACGAACCCATCAAGCATTTTCAGATGCCCTGCCTGAAAAAAATCGCAGATGCGCCTGACAAAGGGGGTACAAATGGATGACAGGAAGAGAGTGGCATCAGGTTGGTCCTGAGCAAGACAGCGAGATCGAAGCCGGAAGGGGTGGAAAGAGAGGCGAAGTCAGTTTTAATCGTAATATTCAGGCTCCAAACTCATCCGAAACCGAACTTAGTCTCATCTTCGTGCGAATATCGGATTTTCCAGATAACGGATCCCCACGTGACGGCTATGTCATCTCACACGCTTCTTCTTCAACAAAGAAAACACAAAGTTCTCTGCTTTCTTGCATTCTTACATCATCTTTCTTTACAAGATTTGATCCGCGTGTTATCATTGCCACAAAATCTTTGATTCAAGCCTTACCCACAACGTTAAATGGTAGTAGTTGCAGGTTCCTGATCACACGAATGAACTTGCCATGAAAAATGATGCGAAAAGCCTTCTCCCGTGATAACGTTAGAGATTCGAATGTAAACTATCCAGGTAGAGAGCATTCCGGTAAACATTCAAGAATGCTCGATTTTCAGACTGACATAACCTGACCAGAATGGAGGTAGTTCAGTTCTTTCTCGATACAACTAGTAGAAAACATGTTGCTAAGAACCTCTAAGGCTGCTGAAGCTAACTCCGATGAAGTAGGATTGTAGCTTTTCATCTTTGCGAGACTCGGCTTAACCTACAAAAATTTTGCCTAATCTGTCAGACTTTACTAGATAACAAAGAATCAGAATGGGTTTCAGCCAATTATCGAAGACAGCTAAAGATAAACCATTGTACCCGTCGAGAAACAGATAGAATGTAACAGAGACAAGCACCACAAATAAGCAAGGCCTTCTGGCAGCAGAACCCGAAGTTGACCTGTTTGCATCACGGTGTATTGGGTTATTACCATATTGAATGCAAGATTCCATCAGAAACAGGGTAGAGAGATTGACCTCGCAACAATGCTTGAAACTGATTCAGTTTCAAGTCCAAACCCATAAGGGAAGAGTGGGTCATAATGTGAATCCCCATAACTCATGGGCAACTGCTCAATGTTTCTGAACCATGTTATAGGAAGTTTACCACTGAATCCATGGTCTCCAAAAATAGCATCAGTGACACCTTGGCCTTCTGTCCCGGGTAGCCAAGCTGCCACCAAGGCTTCAATTGACGACATGTAAGGTTCCATCAAAATGGGTCTGCCCGAGATGAGCACTACGACACACTTCACGGCCTGACAAGTTGTAGTGACAATGGCAGGACCAGGGTCCTTCATGGCCAATTCAGTGCTATCCCCTGCTGTCTCAGCATAAGGGGTTTCACCAACAGCAACAATGGCATAAGCAAAGTTGTTGGACTTGATGAATTCAGCATCCGGGTTTTCACGGTAGATGACTTCTGTGCTCGGGTCAACAGCAGATTTTACAGCGCCAAGAATCGTAGTCCCTGAAAACGGAACGCAGAACTTTGATTTTGACATTCTTCTTCCCACACAAAACAAATGTTGCTAGGGAATTAGTATCAGTCTCAGGATAATAACTCCATATTTCGGGGAAAATAAAAGTTGGCAACATACCCCTAGTGGATTTGTCACCATCAAATCCTTGCCAAGTGATGGTCCATCCACCACACTGATAACCTAAATTATCAGCATGTGTCCCAGAGACAAGGATCTTTGAAGCCTTCCTAGGAAGTGGGAGCAGAGGATTGGTTTTGTTCCCATTTTTAAGTAACACAAGAGACTTCCTAACAGCTTCTCTTGCCAAGTCTCTATGTGCCTGACACGAATAAGAACTGTCATCATTGTGAAATTGCTTGCAACATCAAATTTCAAACTAATTGCAGAGTTGAAAGTACGAAAATTCCAGGTTGAACAACTTTAGCGAGTTCAGGAACGATGTCAGGTCAAACAAACCTGGCTTCCCAGTTCATTGACAAAGCTGTAATCAGCCAAAGGATTCTCGAAAAGACCCATGGTAAACTTCACAAACAGAATTCTTGTGACAGCATCATCAATCCGGCTCATAGGGATTACATTGTTCTTCACCAAGGATGTAAGATCATTGATGAACTCGGTGAAGTTGAAGGGGACCATTACCTGCAATACGTTAGTTTCAAAAATAGTTTGTTAAGCATGACAGTGTTTACAGTTTTCAGTTTCAGTCCAGAAATGTCCATGGTATTTGACACAAACCATATCGATGCCAGCTTGAATTGCAGCTTGGACAGAATATGTGTAGTTTAAATGTGGAGGTGAAGTAATTCTATCAATGCCCTGCCAATCTGAGATAACAAAACCCTGCACAATTCATCCAAAAATAGCCAGAAGTGAGCAGTGAAATTCACTCCTTGAGATTCAGTTTATCTACTATAAATTTTTCAAGTTCAATACATGAAAATAAATTCTTTTGGTTTTTGTCATGAGAAAAGCTTTCAAGAATATCTATCACATGAAAATTTAACGCTAAAAGGTTCTCAAAGAATGTGAATCCATTAAGAAAAGGATACTACAAGAACACAAAAAGGATATGAGAATGAATTGGTGAACACAAACCTTAAACTTAAGGATGCCCTTGAGGTACCCTGTGATCAGCTGGGTGTTTGCATGCATCTTCTCACCGTTCCAGCTTGAATATGATACCATGACTGTGGAAACGCCTTTGTAGATTGAATCAGCATATGCTGGCATGTGAATGCTGAGTAGACCATGCATGTCTATCATAGTATTGTTCTCATTTATTCCTCTGGTTGTCCCACCATCTCCCACAAAATGCTTGGCACATGCTGCAACCTTATCCCTACCGAAATTAAGTGAATGAAAGAATGAACAGATCATATAAGGCATATAATACACCAGACTAGCAGAATTCCTACTTGCCACCAACATATGGAACTCCATGTGTATAGCCAGGAGGAGGATCTCCTTGCAATCCGAGAATGATGTCAGTCATTTCTTCCACCACTTTGTGATCCTCGCTATAGCTCTCATAACACCTACCCCATCTGGGATCTCTACAAACCTACAGGAAACGAGCAAGGAACAAGTCCAATAAGTGCATCTAGTACTGTAGATATGAAGGTAGTTTGCCAGTTTTGTAATAATGCTAACATACACGGATATTGATTCATTTTAGATTCAGTACCGCAATGCATGGAGCAAAAGTGTATGGAATTCCAGTGGCTCTGACTTCTAGTGCAGTTGCAGATCCAATCCTCTTAACTAGATCAGGATCCCTGTGGAACTCGAAGTTCCAACATTAATGTCACTAATGCAGTTCCCAGCTGTTTGGAAGAGGAGAGGAAAGGAAACGAAGAAAGTACAGCATCTTCTGAATGGAAACAAATCAGAACTAATACTTGCCTGGTGGCTCCAAGCCCAACATTGTGCGGAAATATGGTAGCATTATAGACATTATTGTGCCCATGAACAGCATCGATGCCATATATCATTGGAATACCCAAACGACTTGATAAAGCTCCCTTTTGATAGTCATTTATCATATCAACCCAACTCTGAGCAGTTGCTTCAGGAAGTGGGGCACTACCACCACCACTCAATACACTGCCTATACATATCAAAAGGGCAAAATTCTATCAAGCATTTGATGTATCTGTTTCACATGTTCGGACAATAAGGGCAGTTCTCATGAATATTAAACGCCAGCAAAAAGGAGATGGGTAACAAAAAGCTTATCTAGTTCTTGAAGAACAAGATGATATGAAACCAGACTTAGGTGAACTCAAATCAAGAACGAGACCCTCTACATAGTTCAAGAATAGTCATTCAACATACTTGGAAACCGAAAACAAGAAAATAGAAAAATAAGTATTCAACGCATGGATCACCTATCAATATTGTATCATAGAGTTCAAGAATAGAGAGGAATTGAATGAGGCATAAAAAAAGAGATACTGGTCCTACATTGCGTAGAAGCAAGTTGAAATCTTTATAGTAATTCCGAGAAAGGCCCACCAAGTTTCCAACTTTATACCCAAATCATAAACAATGGTTGGCAATCAGGAAGAAATGGTCAAACTATGGCATAAAATTATAATATGTGAGGGAAAACATAGCATACCTATATAGTAATCTCTCATTATGTTGACAGAAGCAATGCTTCTGTCTATCTGCACCATCTGACCAATCTTCTCTTCCAGAGTCATTCTACTCAACAAATCTGCAACTCTATCTTCCACCTCCCGTTTCGGGTCTTTGAATAGAACGTAATCTCCTTCCACCGCACAAACCCACCCACATATCCACAAAATCCACAAAATTCTTGCCAAAATAATGCCCATTTTCGTGACGGGCAAATCTGAAAAATAGAAAAAATCGAAACCCAAAAACAACAATGGATTCTCAGTTCAAGCGTCACCTTAACAAAGAACCAGATGTCCCCTCACAACCTGTTCCTTCTATTTTCTCGTCACTTATCCTGAAAATTTTTCAAGCTCCTGTTTCTCCGCAGCCAAACAGAAAAAGCAAGCATTTTTTTTCCTCAAATGTAAAAAGCAAGCAAAAAAGCTAGAGAGAAAGAAAGCGCTTTTCCCCCCACAAAGATTCAAACTTTTGCTACTTTTTCAGATTGTATGCTTGGGCACAGAAAAGAACGTGAACCCACGATTCTGTGACCAAATTTTTCTTGTTTTATCTGCCAAATTCTTCAAGTTTTTTGCAAAATGAAGATAAAAATTCACTGAATCGAGCGATACTTCGAACAAAGAAAAAGGACTTACAGATGAAGAAGACGAACCCAAAAACAGAAATATGTTCTTTTGATTTTCTCAGTGAATGAAAGCGAGAAAAAAAGTTAAACGCTCTGAAGCAGATTCCGAGTGGAGGAGAAAATGGAGAGAGTGACAGTGAGACTAGGCATATTTCTCTATTTTTCTTCAAAAATAAAAATCAATTTGCTTATGGTCTCTGCCAATCGCATCCAGACACGTGTCACTAAACCTACATTACACCCCACACGCGTAACCTCACGCGCTCACACACCAGAGATCCTCCGCCTCGCGCCGCCGCAAGCTCCGTCGCCATGGCCGCCGTCATGGTTCAATAGCTGCGTTCTGAGAGCCGTCGATTAGTCTCTATTGCCGGCTTCGTCCGTGGACGGTCGCGATGAAGTGTGTAAAGAGGCCCTTGCTCGAAGTTAGGGATTTGAGAACTGTGTTCGTTAGAATTGAGGTAGGAGATTCTCAAGGGCATCGATTTTGTGGTCTACGAAGGAGAGGTGGGTACCAATCTCGTCAAATGATTGAATTTTGCTTCTGTAATTTTGACATTATTGCCTATTCATAGAATTAACTTTGTAATTTTATAAATTCAACCTCGATCTTGTGTAATCCTCTGGTTCTTAGATTGATATGTATTGATTTGAAACAGCCATCTAAAGCAACAAGTTTTTCCTCAAAACTTTTCTCGAGGGCCGAGAACTTCCGAGTCAGAAATCTGATCTGTGATAATGAATCGGCACAGGAAAAAGTTATCTTTAGTACTATACATCCAACAAGAAGAACACTGATGTATAATGTGCTATACAAACGTATGTTTTGAGCGTTTTTGTGAATGTCCTGATGAACTTGTGGGGATCAGTGGGTTCCTGGGTATTGCTATATATAGCTTCTTTGTTGAAATTTTGTTGAAGGTTCATGCGATGATGGGGAAGAGTGGCTCAGGGGGAGGGGGACATTTTCGAAGGTGAACATCTCATCGGTTTGTTCATGAAGATTGAACTATTGCATCTCAGGATAATCTCGACGGCACAGAATTCCCAGTCTGTTCTCTCAGTGAGGGCTTATATATTGCAGGTTCTTGTTGGCCATCCAGATTATGAAGTAATGGGGAGACAGTACTGTGTTTAAAGCCTAGAATCTGCTTGACTTGGAACCAGAGGAAAGACCTCTCGCCGCCCTCTGAATGAGTTTTCCAGTCCCCGATTGAGATCCCGGATGTTAGCTTAGCAATATGGATTTCTCGCATATGGTGTTGTTCAGTGCTCGACGAAAGAAAGCTTGGTGAGCAAGAACTTGATCCAATCAGCTTCTTTGGCTTCTCATTAACTGAAACTCAATCGAGCTTGCAGGTCCTTGGAGCTGATTTGGCTATACTGGATGAAATTGAATCTGGTTTGGATATCGATGCTCTTCAAGGCGTGGCGAAAGCAGTGAACAGACCGTTGATCCCGAAGAAATCCGTTTTAATGATAACCCACTGCCAACATCTACTGAAGTCCATCAAAAAACCGACTTTCAAACACATCATGGTGAGTTTTCTTGCAAAACCAGCTTGCTTTGACTGGTCCATAAAATGGATGCATGATCAAACCCTGATCGCCTGTATTTCAATTCCATCAATAATATAGCATCTAGTGAGTCACTTCAAGTTTCCTCTCAAGTTGTGAAACCAACGAACATATATTTGTTTTTGTTTAGGAAGACATAAGAATCATAAAAACCATGGATATCTGCTTTGCTAGACAGGGATATTACTCTTTAGGAAAATATGACATTTTTCCATTTTTGTGGTGCTGCATTTGCAAAAATGTTTCCTAATAGGTCATCTCTTTCTTATCATACCACCAAATACTCAAAATCTTCGCATTTAATTTTCATAGATCAACTAAATTAAAATAATAAGAAACAAATAACACTATAAGGTATATTATCTGATGCAATATTTTTAGGTTTATATTTTCCTCTACCTCAATCAAACAACAAAAGTGTCTGATAATTGATAAGATCTCTGAGAAAATACTTCATTGGGTCCATTTTTTTTCAGTTATCATTTTGTCTCGAAATTGTATCATATTTAGAGCACATGTTTAACACAATCTGTCCGCAAAAATCGTTGAGACAAAACCCGACAGGGGTCCTCTGTTTCATCTTCCTCCCCCCGACTCACTAAACTATACATCTTCCACCAGTTGATGCAAGTGTCGTGCTATTAAACGATCCCTGGGTTTTCTCTCCTCTTTTATTTTCTTCCTTTTTCCGGTGGTTTCTCCTGGGTTTGCTTCATTGCCTCGATTTCTTACCTGGGTTCGTCTAAAGTTTCGATTTTTCTGATGCCATTTTGATTTTTTTTTGCTTGTTCACTTGATACGTTGTTTGCAGCATTCTCTGTATCGGTTTTTGTTGCTGCTGCTGCTTATTGTCACCTGGAAGATACACCTCCAGTGTTCTGTTTTAACTTATTGATTTGAGTCAGATTCTGAATCATTTGAATACTCAATCTACCTATATCGGAGTAGAAGTCGTTATCTGATTCCGGAATGTTCAATATTTGATGTCTGATGTTGTTCAACAACTCAGCCGTATGATATAAAGGATGTAGTGTGGTTGCTCTGAGATGATGCCATTGCGTTCTTTTGATCAGATCTTGATGTAGAGAGATTACTTGATGATTTTCTGGAGAAGGGATTAGGAGAATTAAGGATATTAGATGGGGAATACCTGTGTAGGACCAAGCATTACCAGCAATGTAGGGTTTTTGCAATCTGTTTCCTCAGCAATATGGCCGCCATGGAAGGGGGATCATTTGGTTTCCCAGACTAACGACGAAGCTGCCAATGAAGCACCTTCGAGGGAATTGCAATCTCCACTACCTGCAGTGCAAGATAAACCCCCTGAACAGCTCACAATGCTTAAGCCAGAGGCTAACACCGAAACGGAACCAAAACCCGAACCAGAGGTACAATCTGAAACCGACCCAGAATCCCAATCAGAAACAAACTCAACGACAAAATCCGGAACTAAACCAGAAACCAAGCCAGAAGCCAAACCCGGCATTCCAGCTAAACCGAAGAAGCCTACACATATGAAGAGAGTGTCCAATGCTGGGCTTAGAACCGAGTCATTGTTGCAGAGGAAGACTGAAAACTTTAAGGAATTATATTCCTTGGGAAGGAAACTCGGACAAGGGCAGTTTGGGACAATATTTTTATGTGTGGAGAAGACTACGGGGAAAGAGCATGCCTGCAAGTCAATTTCTCAGAGGAAGGTTTTTGCAATCTGTTTCCTCAGCAATATGGCCGCCATGGAAGGGGGATCATTTGGTTTCCCAGACTAACGACGAAGCTGCCAATGAAGCACCTTCGAGGGAATTGCAATCTCCACTACCTGCAGTGCAAGATAAACCCCCTGAACAGCTCACAATGCTTAAGCCAGAGGCTAACACCGAAACGGAACCAAAACCCGAACCAGAGGTACAATCTGAAACCGACCCAGAATCCCAATCAGAAACAAACTCAACGACAAAATCCGGAACTAAACCAGAAACCAAGCCAGAAGCCAAACCCGGCATTCCAGCTAAACCGAAGAAGCCTACACATATGAAGAGAGTGTCCAATGCTGGGCTTAGAACCGAGTCATTGTTGCAGAGGAAGACTGAAAACTTTAAGGAATTATATTCCTTGGGAAGGAAACTCGGACAAGGGCAGTTTGGGACAATATTTTTATGTGTGGAGAAGACTACGGGGAAAGAGTATGCCTGCAAGTCGATTTCTAAGAGGAAGTTATCAACAGACGAGGATGTGGAGGATGTTAGAAGGGAGATTCAGATAATGCATCACTTGTCTGGTCACCCAAATGTAATATCCATTAAAGGGGCTTATGAGGATGCTGTGGCAGTACATCTTGTGATGGAGCTATGTGCAGGTGGTGAGCTTTTCGATAGAATACTTAAACGTGGTCATTATACTGAGAGGAAAGCAGCTGAGCTCACACGAACCATAGTTGGGATCGTGGAAGCTTGTCATTCTCTTGGTGTCATGCATCGAGACCTGAAGCCCGAGAATTTTCTGTTCGTCAGTAAACAGGAAGAGTCTCTCTTGAAGGCAATTGACTTTGGATTGTCAATATTCTTCAAGCCAGGTAATGCATTCTATTGCTACGTGATTATCAAATCTCAATCTTAGCCTAAATGTCATGTTTCTGGATTGGAAAAAGATTATAATTCAAAATTTTTGTTGGATATTGTAATCCAATTCCTTCATTTGCAGGCGATGTTTTCACCGGCGTTGTTGGTAGCCCATATTATATAGCTCCAGAAGTCCTTCGAATGCATTATGGTCCTGAAGCAGACGTATGGAGTGCTGGTGTGATTGTTTACGTTTTATTAAGCGGAGTTCCTCCATTCTGGGGTGGTATGAATCATAGATTCTGATCAACTCATCAATTACTTGTTTATATTGGACTCTTTCAATATTTTTTTGTTATTGTATCTGTTAATACCCAGAAACCGAGCAAGGAATTTTCGAACAGATCCTCCATGGAGATGTTGACTTCACATCTGATCCCTGGCCTAGCATCTCTGAAAGTGCAAAAGACTTAGTGAGGAAAATGCTCGTGCGAGACCCAAACAGAAGATTAACTGCCCACCAAGTTTTATGTAAGTTGTTTCAAACTGAACCTTCGGCCCTTATCCTTGATTATTTTGAGCACAAATCGACTAATACACTCCTCCCTTTTATAGTTGAGTAAGATCTGTGTTATTACAAATCATAACCATTTGAGCTTTTCACCGTTCTTTGTTCTGAAGAACTTTTGCTTTTGAACAGGTCATCCATGGGTGAAAGTTGATGGAACAGCTCCAGACAAGCCTCTGGATTCCGCTGTTCTGAGCCATATGAAGCAATTTTCTGCCATGAACAAGTTCAAGAAGATGGCTCTTAGAGTAAGTGAATCAATATCTGAAGACCATATCCCATCAGAAAGCCAAAATCTTTTGTCATCCTACCTCTTTATTCATAAGAAAGAAAGAGAACACACAGTAAGTTTAGTGTTTTCCTTCTTTCTTTAGGTCATTGCTGAGATCTTATCCGAGGAGGAAATAGCTGGCTTGAAAGGAATGTTCAAGATGATAGACACTGACAAGAGTGGTCAGATAACTTTCGAAGAACTGAAAGCAGGACTGAAACGGGTTGGTGCCAATCTCAAGGAATCTGAAATTCGTGACCTAATGCAAGCTGTAAGTGTTAACACGTTGCTTCCTCTTTATTTCTCCACATCATTTGCCATGATTTTTCCTCTCTTAGTTGAGAAACACAGTTCGACTTTTGTCGGTTGGAATGTTCTATGCTGTTCCAAACTGTAACAAGTTCCATTCCTTTTTCATCGTTTCCTCTTTTACCACGAACTCCAAACCAGACATCTTCATGATTTCTATCATGTTCTAGGCTGATGTGGACAACAGTGGAACAATAGATTACAAGGAGTTCATAGCCGCTACATTGCATCTGAACAAAATAGAGAGGGAGGACCATTTATTTGCGGCCTTTTCTTACTTTGACAAGGATGGGAGCGGTTATATCACTGCAGACGAGCTCCAGCAAGCTTGTGAGGAGTTCGGTGTAGAGGATTTCCGAATAGAAGAAATGATGCGAGATGTTGATCAAGACAACGTAAGATCTTCTCACCCATCACCACGTCACTATTTGCCTATGGCTTGATCATAATCGTTATACATAAAGCTGAAAAGGACAGAATTTTGTAGGGTTTTTAGAGGGAATCCAGAATATGAGGGATTGAAATTATAGTCACAGATCCATAATCCATTGCTTGAAGATTAAAGTGTATTTCAAGAACTTTCTTCAGTTCTCGCTTCCAAGTTCTGTGGAATTGATACGAATCAACCGAATTCTTTAACACATCGGGTCATGGCTGCAGGATGGGCGGATAGACTATAACGAGTTTGTGGCAATGATGCAGAAAGGGACCATCACTGCCGGACCGGCGAAGAAGGGTCTAGAAACTTGCTTTACCATTGCACTGAGACAATAGTTTCAGGTGTTTCGAAACAGGAAGAATAGAGATCAATACATACGATGGTTTTGTGTAGCAGAGTGCATAGCCTATACTCTGTTTTAGTCTCTAGAAAGTTCCAATCTTTTGGTGAGATTTTTGTTCTGAACTTGTTTCAGCAGCATTCTCTGTGCAGATATAGGGTTTTTTTCTTTTTTTTTTCAGTTACTTCCGGACATATGGGAAACAATTGTGACATTGCCGGAAACAGACAAGTTTACTATATGTTCCCAACTGATAGGGTCAACTCACAAGTTCTTAACTGCATTACTCTCCAAACTTCACTTCTTCTGATGTTGTCAGGTTTTCATGAAGTTATGATCTTTCCCCAAAATTGTTCTGTAACTTTGTCTGTTTGACAAAAATCCGCCGGTTTTTATATAAGTTCTTGCATGATTGGAGGTTTTAGAATCTAAAAAAAAAAAAAAAAAATTATCATTTCAAATTTTTATAAAATTATTTTTATTAGAAATTTGAAAAAATATTTTGATGAAAAAATCAATGAAAAACCAAAAAACACATTTTTTGGATTTATAAATATTATAGAATCCAAAAACCAAAAATCAAAAACTAAAAACTAAAATCCAAAAACTAAAACCAAAAACTCAAAATAAAAATCATTCCCAAAGGCTAAATTTCAATATTAATCCTGTGGGTTTATTATTATATTTTTGGACCTTATATATTTTGGCCCATCAATCTAAAATCGAAATTACCAAGAGATAGTTATATATTTTAGATTTTATTCTTTAAAAAAATGTATTTGCAGTGGGAAAGTGAAAGTGGGTCTTACTATTGAAAGTGTTTTCAACTAAATAATTTAGACCACTAAAAAATTTAAAGAATAAGTTTTTGGTTGGGGTACGACTTCTTGGCTCATAATTATTAAATTAAATTAACTTTTTTATTTGAAAAAGAGTTGTTCAATTTGACATTTTTATTTAAATAATCATCTCAGATCAACATCCATTCACATGCGCACATATAATAAAACGAATAAATTACTTTTAGTTTTAATATGACATTGTATCATTTGAATAGTTTGACTTTTTTTTTTTGTCTTGTAGAACACTTATAAAATTATATTTTTTTAATACACGCGTTGACTATATAATCAATCAATAAAAGACATTATCTATCATTCAACAAGATTCATAGAATTTCAGAAAATGGAATGCGAAAATTGATTTTAAGAATACGCCCCGAGACAAATTTAATTCTTTAAATCCCCATTACAGACAAAAAAAAAAGGAAAACAGATTAATGTGGAGCATTAAAGGTATTTTAGTAAGAGCTATAAGTCTTCAAGTGCAAGAGATAAATTAAAATTTAATTATTTTATATGATATAATATTAGGGACATTTATTTTGACTCTTGTACCCAAAATTCAAACAAAATGAAATGAAGTATAGATATATCTAAATTTAATTCGATTTTAAAACTAGTTGTTACAATATTAAAATTCAAATTAACCAAATTAAATATAAAAAGTAATCAAAATTTAAGCAAACTTGATGGTTACATGATCGAAATTATTTTGTAAAATTAACGGTTCATCGGTTCTCAATGTCATAGAGGCCATAATTGTGCATTTGTGGGTCCACTACCCTCGCCCCGTTCGGTGACCGGCTCTAATTTAAAGTAAATAAAATAAATATTGAAAAAGTATTCATTACCCCAAAAATAAATCTAATTCCGAATATTCAAAGAATATGAATTAATGAATAAATATCCTAGATATCAAATTCCCTAACAGAACCGATAAATACATAATTTTATACTTTCTTTAATCATATTATATTATCCAGATGCATAAACAATATAAGTATTTATTAGTTTTTCATGTCACAAAATAAGATTTTTACCACGTTTTATAATTTATAGAGCTCTGATAATTGAATATTCGGAATACATTCTCAAACCAATATATCATCCCGCATTAAGATTTCCATGGGTCATTATTTTTATCGGTTTAATCATTCATAGTTTGAAAAATATGATATATAAGATTTATGCTTTGACTTTTATCCTCAATAAAAATAAATCAACAATTGTTTTAGTAAATAATATATTTAGGGTTTTTATAATATATACTTAGTCTTTTATTTTGTAAAATTATATGTCACTTTTTTTTCTTTTCTATACACATATACATTTATCTAAAAAAGTATTTTCTCATGACTTGTTTTATTTTTTATATTTAATTGGATAAATATGATTAGATTTTCATTATCCAAATCTAGAGATTCACTCCTAATACACAATCAATCGTAGGTGTGTATTGCAATAAATTAATTAGTAATTTTAGAAATTATATCAAGTAACTCAACCACGAAACCCGGTGGTATGATCCTCTTGACTTCTTCATTCATTGAAATATATAAATACATACATAAATACATATATATATATATATATAATATGATTCTTTTACCAGCTCTTTATTTGTGAAAAAAAATATTTATTCATTTGTTATTTCATTTTTTATCATATGATTTATATCTTTAGATATCAATCCGTGTTATTGACATCTATCTGTATTTTTATTTGTATTAATCTGTACCTGTTTATGTTATTACATAATTATTTTAATCTATGTATGGAAATAATGTACAGAAATAGAACGAAGATATTTGTAAATTTAGTTAAAAATAAGAAAGTAATATTTTTTTGTAAGTAAATCTATTAATTATAGGATTAAGGGAATTTTAGATCCTCTTGCAAAGGGTTGACCATGGAAAACAAAACGCACATTCCACGCTGACATTCCCATTCTCTCTCTCTCTTCAAATTTCAAACTTTGTGCGTTTCATTGGTTTCAATCACCAAATCCGCCATACCCACTTCCTAAAGATCCGATATTTTCTCTCCCGAGAATCTCGATTTTCTCAACCCGTATCTTCTTCTTCGTCGGGCTCTTCGTTGTTTATCCTCTCACGCGAATTCTCTCTCCGATCGCACTCCTTCACTAACTAGAATTGTGGGCAAGATGAGAATCATGCGGTGGCCGCCGTGGCCGCCTCTCACCGCCGCGAAATTCGAGGTGGTCGTCGTCATTCTTCGGATGGACGGTCTGGATTCATCCCGATTTGACGGCGATGAAGAGGGTTGCGGTGGTGGTCGGAGGCCGAGGAAGAGACCCGTGGTAGAGGTCAAGTGGAAGGGACCGAGAACGGTGGCTCTGAAACGCTCTGTCGTCCGGAATTTGACCGAGGAAGGCGGCTGCAGAGGCGATGGTGTCGTCGAGTGGAATGAGGAATTCAAGAGGGACTGTGATTTCGCCGTCTACAAGGACGGCTTGTTCCTGCCATGGGAGATTGCTTTTACTGTCTTCAATGTATGCCCTCTCTCTCTCTCTCTCTCTCTCTCCCTATCTCTCTCTGTGGTGATCACTTATTTGAATTCACGGGCTCTGATTGTATTAGACGCCTGGTTTGATTATCGGCTTCTCGATCAGATTCTCGTACCATACGATCATCTGATGACTGATGATGCCATTGCCCTCCTAAATTTGGGAAAATCTGCGTTATTCTTCTGATTTTTTGTTGCTGTAGGCTCATGTGATTATGAAACTTTGATGCTTTATGTTTGTATTTCCTGTATTTGATCTTATGAATGATCTGAATCTTGCCCATATACTCATATGTATACTTAGTTATCTTCTCTGTACGTCAGCATCACTACAGTGAAACCATATGTATATATCTCTGCATTGATCCATATAGGACATATGAATTTGATCCAGGTTTCTTGTTCAGACAGTAAATATAAACATGAAGTTACTTGGCTGGCTTGTGTTCTTGATATGTTCCTCAACCAGACGATCATGTGGTTAGAAGTGTTCGTAACATATGTGTTCTGATATCGGGTTGTTGATCATGTAGGGGATTAATCAAGGATCAAAGGAGAAAATTCCCATCATTGGAAAGGCATTGCTGAATATTGCAGGACACTGTTCACCTCTGCAAGAAGATGATGTTCCAGTCGAAGTCCCTCTCAAGATCTCGGGAACTCCATCTTCGTCATGTCCATGTCTTCATGTGAGTGACCCCCCCTTCCCCATCATCTTGTGGATTTGTTCTTTTTTTCGTATTTCTTACTACAACGGTTACCCTTTTGCAGATATCACTTCAGTTTACCCCAAAAGAATCATCTCCCGGGAGACAAAGATCGGTTCTACCTGTGTTGTGGTCTCCTTGTTCCATGGAGGCTCCCTCAAACGAGAAAGCCGAGACTGCTGTAAAAGCGGGTCTGAGAAAGATCAAAACTTTCAATCATTGCATGTCAATTGGCCAAGGGGTGAGAAAAGATAACACTCGGGGTGCAACCAGTGACAGCGAAGGCAAAAGCCCTGATAGAAATCTCGATACCGAGTCAAGTGATCCCTTTGATACAGATTCTCTGGATGAAATTGCTGGGGATTTTTCAGAAGAGAGTAGAGAGGATGGAAGTGCTTCCGATCCAGTTAACTACAAGACATTGCCATATGCCATTTGGGGTAGAAGCTCGTTTCACGCCAATATAGACCCAGGAGATGAGGGTTTTGTTTATTACAGCCACCGAAGGTCAGACCTCGAGCATTCTCGTGAAGAGAATTCATCTGGGCAGCTGTCGAAGAAGAGGATGCTATCATGGAAGAAGAGAAAACTGAGCTTCAAATCTCCCAAAGGCAAGGGCGAGCCTCTTCTGAAAAAAGATTGTCTTGAAGAAGGTGGAGACGATATTGATTTCGACAGAAGACATCTAAGTTCATCGGATGAGTCTTTCTCGGAGGTATGTGCAGTGGAAAAAACAACCGTAAGTTGCTTTCACTTTCGTAATACGTTTCTTTCTAACGTGCAACCTATTTCCGTGCAGTGGTACAAATCCAATGATTCAGCCATGAAGCGATCATCTAACTCGGAGTTTGGAGACGAGAACTTCGTTGTCGGAAGCTGGGAGACTAAGGAAATCGCAAGCCGGGACGGGATAATGAAGCTTACGGCTCAAGTCTTTCTCGGTTCGATTGACCAACGGAGCGAGAGTGCGGCCGGAGAGAGCGCCTGCACGGCCTTGGTTGCGGTCATATCCCATTGGTTGCAATCCAACAAAGGAGTAATGCCGACGAGGTCGGAGTTTGATAGCCTTATCAGAGAAGGGTCAACAGAATGGAGAAATCTGTGCGAGAACGAGGAGTATCGGGAACGTTTTCCGGACAAACATTTCGACCTCGAGACCGTCCTCCTGGCCGGAATCCGTCCCCTCTGCGTTGTTCCGGAGAAATCTTTCATCGGGTTCTTCCATCCAGAGAAATCAGGGGAAGAACTAGAAGAAGAAGAAGAAGAGACTGGTCTCGACTTTCTCCATGGAGTGATGTCCTTCGACAGTATCTGGGAAGAGATCATCAAGCAAGAGCAAGATTCAACGACCGAAAACGACGAGCCCTTCGTCTACATCGTGAGCTGGAACGACCATTTCTTCGTCCTTCTCATCAACCACGACGCTTACTACATCATCGACACGCTGGGAGAGAGGCTCTACGAGGGCTGCAACCAAGCCTACATCTTGAAATTCGACAAAGACGCAGAGATCCAGAGGCTACCACCCGCCATTGACACCACCACCACCACCACCACCCCTTCAAACCCGAAACCCGACGTCAAGAACGAGCCGGAATCGGCATCTCCAGAGGAACCCAAGCAAAGCGAAGTGATTTGCAGAGGTAAAGAATCATGCAGAGAGTACATAAAGAGCTTCCTCGCTGCAATACCCATAAGGCAACTCAAAGCCGACATGAAGAAGGGACTCGTCTCGTCTTTTCACCACCGTCTCCAAATCGAAATCCACCGAACCATGGCTGAATCTTCAGACAGTTCTGCAGCAAGAACGATGATGACTGATACCGTTTCCGAAGCTGCTTCTGTACCTGTGGCTGCGGCGTGAAACGGCTGAGATTTTCAGGGTTTTAAAGATTGGAGAATTGTATAGGGAAGAAAAGGGAGAGGCTTTCTCGCTTGGCGGCTCGTAAGAACCAAAGCTGAAACTGAAGGCTTCTCTCGTTTGATTCTTTGGTGGGTGTTTTTATATACAAACTTTTGTTTTGTGGCCAAGCTTGTTCATAGTTTTCTCCTTATGGTCCTAAAAAACGGTACAACTAACTTCTTCTTGGGTACATAATTAGTTCCTATAACTCTGGCATTTTACAATAAATTATTTCGGTTTGGTTATATTTCATATTCATTAGATTTAGTTTCAGATTTGGATTTTCGTATAATTTTGGAAATCTATTCGTTATTACAAGATCTAGAACTACACCTATTGAGAAACGCTCCTTTGGTTGAACTTGAACATCGACATTGTAGAAGGGGACAAGAAAATCTCAGTCGGACATGAAAAGTTCCAAACTTTACGATCTGGGCGAAACATAAAATGAAAATCCGAGGAGGAAAAACTTTGGAATGTCGATCGTTTGAAGATTCGACAATCTTCTCCGAAATCTCTCTCTCTGTTTTATAGCTGAAGTTTTGAACTTGTTCGGAGAAGATGAAGAGAGTATTCGGCGCGAAGAAGAACAATGAACCTCCTCCGTCCATTCAAGATGCCTCCGATCGGGTTCTTATTCTCACTCTTATGTTCTGCTTCGGATTCATGGTTTGGGTTTTGATTCGAGATCTCGTCTTGAAATCAGCATAGCCGCTGGTGACGTGCGGAATGCAGAGAATTAGGGATTGTTGCTGTACGGTGTTTCTGGCTTCGCTCGGATTGAGGAGTAGTCCTTGTTTCTAGTTGTCGATTTCTGGGTTTTATCGTGTTCCATCTTCGAACATCGTTTTTTGTTTGTTCAAGACAAGGGTTTTTGGATTTGGGTTTCATCATAAGTCGGATTCTTTGTCCGTTTTGTTTGATGTTTCTCGAGGAAGTGCTTGATGGAACGGTTTGTGATAGCATATGATATTCATCTTCATCACTGATGCGTAGTCCCTCTTTGTCTGGTTTCTTCTCTTTTGAGATTCCAATGACATTTTCAGGTATCATTCTTTTAGGGTTTTGAAATAACTCCATTGCTGTGTTCTCAGATTAACAAAAGAGGGGGACTTGGTGGAAGAGAAGATTAAGAAGCTTGATGCTGCAAATACAGAGAACAGATAAAAAAGACGAGACCCGGTCCATCTCAGGAAGCTATCAAAGCTCGGGCTATGCGGGTTCTGAAGCAGAAGAAAATGTGAGTTTTTATCTTCATTGGTAATGGTTCCTTTGATCATTTGTTTCGGGAGGAAGGAAGGTTCGACAATAACCGAGTTTAAGCTTCCTTACGAATACACGATACCTGTTTTGTCGAGTGACGATTGTTTATAACCGCTGCTACGTTTTTTTTAGCAGGTACGAAGGACAACGTGACATGCTGTATAATCAGACGTTCAACCTAGATCAAGTTTCGTTCGCCGCCGAAGGCCTCAAAGACGCTCAACAAACTGTATGTATGGCTTTTGCTTTCTCGTCATTTCTACAAAAAGATGCTTGGTGAAAGCGAATGAATATGATAGAACTCTGAAACGGGTCAAAATTTGCGATGCGGTTACTTGCAGATGACGGTGCTGAGATCTGCCAACAATGAATTGAAAGGAATGATGAAAACAGTGAAGATTCAAGATGTAGATGTATGTTGAACTTCTTAACAAGACCTCTCTTTTCTTCAAGAATCTCGGTATTAGTTAGCCCCCCCCCCCCCCCCCCGGGGGCGTCGACAGTT